GCCTAGTAATGCCCAGTAATGCCGCAAATCTGTACACGACAATGCCTCGGCGGTTTCCCCCTCGACATTTTACGCGGGGAAAACCGCTGATCAAAATCTTGTACACCAATCCACTAATGCCCAGTGGGCATTACTTTATCTTGTTATCTTATTTGATCTTATTTCCCTAGTTTTATCTTATTTTATCTTTATAATGCCCCAGCAAGGCCCAAACTAATGCCCAAAAATGCCCAGTAATGCCGCAAATCTGCACAGCACAATGCCCTCAGCGGTTTCCCCCTCGACAATTTACTAGCGATTGTACTTAGTATACAATTTACTAGTGGAATGTATGGTGAAATTTCAAGAAACTCTTATATAAAATTCTTCAAAGTACCACGTTGCTCCACAACTACATGATTTTCAGGGTGAATTTTAAGAGAAAATTCTCTCCGTGTACGTTTATATCGTACATCACCGTACTTTATCGCCAGGGGCTCGATCACGAATCTTTTTCTCTAGCGCGAACTCGTGAAGAAATTTCATGGGCGAGTTTAATGTTTATCAATGAAGTTTTTTACTTTTCACGACTTCACGCTGGAGACAAAGGTTCATGATCGAGCCCCAAGGAGAAATAAATCATAGGAAAGATTTTATGGTAAAATTGGGCTTAGTGTAACTTCGATCCAGCCCTAATTAACCCAATCATCTAATCCCAATCGACTTGATCAACGTCCGTCTCTACCAATGCAGATTAATTTTAATCTCGGCCCGACTTGCCTCCCATCTTTTTCCAAGGTCCGGTCTACAATGGGTTGTAAGGGCCAGTTTTACAAACGTCGGTTAACTGTTAATCGATTCTCTCTCTTCTTAGATAACAAGATAGAAAAAGGGAGTTGGTTAAATTCTGGTCAACAGTTAGGTCCGATCTACGATTCGTTAGTCGGAACTGTATATCGGTCCTTTTTCCTTCACCCAAAAAGGGTGACAAAGGGCCTGCGTCCACAATGCCCAGAACTTGGCCCAAATTCCGGTTTCGCGAAATGCATAGCCAATCAACTTGCAGCTATTCCATAAAGACCTGTGTCCACGATGTTAGAACTTGGTCCAAATTCTGGTTTCAAGAAATGTGTAGCCAATTAACTTGCAGCTTCTATGGAATAGCTGCCAGTTGATTGGCTACACATTTCTCGAAACTAGAACTTGGACCAAGTTCTAGCATCGTGGACACAGGCCTTAAGAGCTGCAAGTTGATTGACTACGCAGTTCTCGAAACTAGAACTTTGACCAAATTCTAGCATTGCTGACACGGGCCTTAACGACGTTTGTGAAATTAGTCATTGACCGTTAGCGAGAACTACACGTCGGTCCTTCTTCTTCCGCCCAGAAAGAAAGAGACTCAACATATAGTTCTGACTTCCAGCAACCTATTGTAGACCGAGCCTTAAGCCTCCGCTACAATGATTCTCGGTTCTGTCTACAATGGTCGTAGTCGTAGTCGCTCGATAAGAATTGACCAATCGCAGTCGATTATTCTTACGACTACGACCATTGTAGACAGAACCGAGAATCATTGTAGCGGAGGCTTTAAAGCCCAATGTCCACGATGCTAGAACTTGGTCCAAGTCCTCGGTCCGAGAAGCGTGCAGCCAATAAAATTGCCGCTTTTCCGTAAAGGCCACAAATTTCTCAATCCAAGAACTCGGTCCAAGTTCTAGCATCGTGGGACACAGGCCTCGAGAAAAACGTCGCGGCTAATCCGCGCGGACAGAAATGGACGTCGAACCTGATCTCTCTTGTCTGGCAAGTGACGAGATTAGATCGCGGATGACGAAACCGCCGCGGTCTTCTCGCTGCCGCGAGCGATTTCGCGGGTCGAGTCAAGCGCCGATACGAGTTAATCCGGATTCGATCGAGGTCGTCGTTGTTCCTCGCGCGAGACCCTCGGCAGACCCCGTCCCGAGCGGGCCGCGAGACGGGCTTCGGTCCGCGGATCTCACGGCAAGATCAACGTCGGTTTTCGCGCGGGCCAGCGGACACGGGCCGAGAATCGCGGCGCATTTGCGCTCCGTGCCCGTGTCCGCGGAATAAACAATCGATCCGCATCCAACGCAAAACGGTCGACAGTCCCGGGGGGGGCCGTCGTCGTCTCGTGCGCTCCGCGACGCGCACTCACTTGTAGTTCTTGAATATCTCGTTCGTAACCTCGCAGTGATAGACCTCGTCGTCGTCCCTGAAGTCCGAGGAGACGTGGAGCCGTTGGAACGGCTGTCTGCGTAGGAGCGGCATTGCGACGGCGAGCGCGAACTGCGCGGCCCGCGTCCCAAACCGATTCTCTTCTTTTCCTTCCTCTCGTTCTCTTCCTCCGCCGCCTTCTCGACGCGCCGCGAAGATCGGCACCGCGGACGACGTGTGTGCGCGCGCTCTCTTTCTCTCTCTCTCTCTCCCTCCCTCTCGCCTTCGCTCACTCTCTCTCCCTCTCCCTCGCTCTCAAGCGCGCGGGCGCGCGCGCGCACGACGCACGCCAAGTGGCACGGGACGATGGACGTGTACGCGCGGTTGGCGCCAGCGACCGGGAATCCCGACGTCAGGCCGCGGGCCTCCTCGACGCCGATCGGCGCTCCGGTGTCGCGTGATACAGCCGCGCGGCGAATCTCCCGCGTCGCCGCGATCTCATAACAATTGACGATTAGCGCCCGACGATCCCGCTCGACGGCGTCCGACACCGCCGCGTCCAACGCACGGCACGGGTCCCGAGACGCGGTAAACACGGCAAACGACTGCGTACCGTTCCGCTCCGCGCGCGCACCTGGCCAAACCGTGCTCTCTCGGGACGGCCGGAAGCGCCAACGGCGAATGGTACATACGCCGTTGCCAACTTGACGTTTCGCGCGCGGATCGCCGCGCGCTCGCGGGGCGACCTGGGGCGGGCAGGGGCGAACGCCACCCCTCCCGCCCCTCGGGTCCGTTTCTGTCGACGCGCGGATCAGGGGTTTGTTTTCTGTTTAAATTAGAGTAAGGGCCAGTTTCACAAACGTTGGTTAACTGTTAACCATCAGAGTTCAGTCAACGCTCTATCTTTTTCTATCTTGTTCTCTAAGAAGAGACAGAGGATCAGTTAACCTTCGGTTAGCAGTTAACCGACGTTTGTGAAACTGGCCCTAAGACAAACATTATACTTTTTCTCATTCTAGCTTACTGCACTAGTTCACCAGTGCAGGAACAAAAAACAAACCTCAAGCGGGGAGCACACACTTTTGCACAAGTGCGTAAGCGTATGCATAACGAATTTGATTGGTTTACAAGCAAATGCACAAGGAAATGGACCAATCAAATTCGTTATGCATATGCTTATGCACTTACGCAAAAGTGTGTGCTCCCCGCTTCAGCTTCGATCTCGGCTCGGGTTATTTCTTGCGACTTTTGTCTTTCCCTAATGTACGCTTCTACCAATGCGGATTGACTGCAATCTCTTCGGCCTCGACTTAAGCGGGGAGCACGCACTTTTGCACAAGTGCGTAAGCGTATGCATAACGAATTCGATTGGTCTCAGTGAACTCAATCGCATATAAGTGACGCCCTTCTTCTCGTCATTTATATGCGACTATCCAATCAGGTAGTACTAGAAGGAGACAAGGATTCACCCAAACGCACCTCTCTCTCGGCAACAGCCAGAACAATAGATCACTCATTCCAGTATGTATAGAGTTCACTGCCTGCGTATCACCAATCACAGGATCATGCTGATAGAACCGTTTCAATAATTCCGTTGAACTAGTCCTGTGATTGACGATACGCAGGTTACGCTACGCAACTTACGCTCCATGTGAAAGCACCCTTAGCGTTTTTTATTTTCTGACT